ATATTCAAATGAAGAGACCAAAACGTTTTTCTGCTACATTGTTAGACAACAAAGCACGCAGTCGCTGGGATATGAAATATGTCTGGTCAACTGAGCCTTTCTGTTTCTTATGTAATATATGATAAAAAAAATCATATCATACTCTTGGCTATTAATCCACTACATTAGAGGAATGTAAGACTTTGGAACAATATCCTACTTATTGAAATTAGTAAAAATTGTGTCCTTTCTTCAAATGAGCCAGAATTTGGTTTATTGCTTTTGATTTAGTTTACTAACTCCATTGGCTCATTAAAAAAGAAAGATGATTACAAATACAAGCTCTTTAAGAAAATCCATTACAGCTATTATTGAACAAAACACATGAGGAAATCCTTTCTTCAAAATTTTGAAACATAACAGTTTCAAAAAAGCCACAACAATCTGACCTATTCTAATTTTAAATGCGACTCTTAAAATTACTATTTTTTTTAAATTTCTTGAATATTATTATATGTCTATGGAATTCTTTTTAAAGCTGCTTAAGTACATTTTCTGCTACTGGTCTTTTCAGCAGCCCAAAGAGTAGGTAAATGCAAACAGGCTGCTGAAAAATACTTTTTCTAGACTTTCTACCACGGTAGCAACTGAAGCTTCACAAACTTGAAAACACAGTGGGTTTTAATCAGTGGCTTACGAAGGCAGAAAAGCAGATTCCCATTTTCTCTTCCACCAGTGGTGTCTCCACAGCTCTCTGCGCTTACAGGGTCTGTGCTCTGTCCATCAGTGCTTCAGCTTTGGAGAGAGCTCTCTTTTGCTTTGTTCCTCAGACCTTTTGCACTGTAAGGTTCTGATCTCACAGCTTTCCAGGACTACCCCAGAGCACCCTTAGAGGAACTGAGTGCCACCGCTCAAGGTGATTGCACTGCTTTTACCACAGGTCAAATGGGCTCACGTAGAACTTGGCTGCTCCTTAAATCACCTCTGGGTCAGTCTGCCCGACAGAGTCACTGTCTTAAAACTCACAGACAATATGACAAGCAAAGCAAAAAGCAGCAACAAACAACCTCCACGTAATTTGAATGTCAGTCTGCCAACCTATATAACAAATATTCCAGTCAGAATAAAAGTTTCAATGTGCCAAGGCTCTCACGAAAGGTAAATTCGTTTACAAAGGCAAAGCCTGCAGTCATCATTTCAGAAACACCTCCTTGACGCTGGCAGGTGTTTTGCAAGCCAGCAGGCTGCACAACCTGGCCAAGAATGCCAAACACACACAGCACGTTACAAAAGGCACAGAAACCAATTCTGTGCTATCTAGAAAGTTTTCAGTTTCAAACCAGGCTCACAATAAAGCACTAAGGAGTCCCTTACCGTAAATCTCTTTATGTAATCTGAAACACAAAATCCTCCCATGCTCAAACGCAGGGACCTGTGCAGGGCAGATTCTTGATATAAAGTCCCCATTCTGTTTGTCTTGTCTGGTGGTCACCCTGGTAGCCTGCAGCCTTTTACTGAATAAAGCTGCACAGCCTCCTTGGATCTTGCTAGAATTCTGCTTGTGTGATAAACCAGGCATTTCATCTTATCTGACACTACACCAGGCATTTCAATCATTTCAGTGCCTTATCAGCAGCACTAAGTTCTATCCATATCCCAGCAGTTCACTTCCTGAATCACCGATAACAGATACTCCAGGGCACAGAAACAAAACGAGATGACAGCCAGACCTTTGGAGTCACTGAGCAGTCCCTTCTTTGCATTTCTTTGTTCCTTTGCTTATTTTAATCCAATTTTACTTTGCTTGAGCTGTAACTTAAGGACAGCACATTGACTTCAGCCAAGCAGTGACAAAACTGTCATTTATCCAAGTGCTATTCTATTTTTCAGTGACACTGATAACTTCTGCAGGATATTGGCTTCAACACAACTCGAATATAATGTGTGGGAATTTCTTGCATGTCCAATTTCTTATGCACAGGAATAGAGGGAACAATGAATGGACTCAAAATGACCCTTCAGGAGGGTTCATCCTCCACCAGAATTCACATATCAATTATGTGCACTGTTTCTACATCTGATGCCATGCACACCGAGCCATTCCCTTCAGTCTCTAAAACACCTTACTTGCACAAGTGTACATTGCCATGAACTCCATGTAGGCATATTTGTGAACCTCCCAGATCTAGGATCTTTTAATTTATTTTTACTTACATAGTTAAATATGCAGCCACAAAGCATCCAAATTATGTTCCTCATGCATTTGGTTCTCAGCTAATTCATTCCTTTTTATTTTGCCCTGTGTGAGATATGCTTTTTTTTAATAGAGTTCTTACCTGCAAATTTGTATCCACGGAGGACAAATATACAAACAGAACAGATACCAAGATGCTGGATGACCTAAGAAGGAAATTAGTTCTAGAGAAGTTTTTGCTTTTAGTTTTAATCTGTGCCTTCCTTTCCCACTCAGCCAACAAGCTGTACGAGAATTGTCTCTGATTACAAGCTGCAAGTGATCTAACATAAAGATGAATCCATCAGGCAGGGGCACACAAAATGACAGCCTCTCACTGTGGCCCTGTCTTTGAGCAGGTGGACAAGCACCTCAGGCAGCAGGAGCAGGGCCTGGCATGGGCCACATCTCTGCTTCCACCCCAACACAAGTGTGCTCTCTCTACCGCAGGATGGGTGCGCATGTGCTCTCCCCTGAAACAATCAGGTGAGTGATGGAGATAAGGTACTGTACCTTTATCATTCTGATTTAAGAGATGTCAGGTCCAGACGTGTGGGTACAGAGCTGGCTGCCCCTCTCACAGCAAAAACAAGTGGTGTGTTTCCAGCTGGGTCTGTACAGCAAAATAACAAATACACTATTCAAAAACAAAATGAAACCAACGTAAGTACAGACAAAACCAGAAACAGGTGAGGGAGAAAATAGCCATGCTTGCTTTGCTGCCTGGCAGGGAACATTTTTCAGGTTATTTAACAAACAAGTGAACAGGGCTTGCCTGGGGTTCAGGATGGCTTGAGCACAGCTCATAGAGGTGAGATAGTCCTACCGAGATGTTAGTGGTGTAACATCCTGCTAAAGGGACACAGGCAACCTGAGACTGCCTCAGATGCTGGACTAAAACCACCAGAAATTATACCAGTCTCAACTGCCAGACCCCTGTATAACTCCTAACTCAATCTCTGGGCCTTCTCCACCTGTAAAACAGAGTTAAACCTTTCATAGCTCATAGAATATTTTCACAGCTTTAAGATCTATTATTACCATTCCGCCCTTTTAAAGGGCAAGAGTAAACCATAAATTCTAGGTCAAAACTGTCCCTAGATTTTTTAGGCACATCAGCTTGGTGCATGCAGAGGCACAGGAATCCTGGTGCCCTCTGAGCTGAAAGCTCTGCCCTGCTGAGCCATCCCCCACAGACAGGGCAGGGATGCTGCTGGCCTTGTGGCAGCACCTCCAGCAGCTTTCCTGGCACTGGGAACACCACCCAGCCACTCTCAGTGGAACAGGAGACCATCCACATGGCACTCAGCTCTTGAACATGGCCTTCAGCTTTTTTACTACCACATAACTGATAGTGGGAATTAAAGACCCCCATTCCAGTACCTAAGAAAAGAACAAATATTAGAGCTGCTCAAGAGGTGCAGGGCTTAACAATGATGACAGATCCAAGGGAGGGAAAGAAGTATTTTTATATAATTGTGGCTTCTTCCAATAGCACAAATAACCATGCAGTTACTCTAGATTTAGTAAAGAGACACTATTACTTAATGTGGCAGCATAGGCATGTACAGCATGCAAGCACCGTGCCACGGGGGGAAAGCTTGCATGACAAAGAGAAACCTTTAGAAACTTTGGCAAGAACTCTGGAACGAGCAATGCTCAGCCTGCAACCTTCCATTAGCAGATCTAAATACAGAACCATAGTGTAAAACAACACCTTCCTGCAGTATTTGTATTAATTAATATTAAGAATATAATTATTATGATGAGTTTCACTGACTGCTTTTTCTCCATGTAGGTTCTGAAAAATAATTAATTTGGAGCTTTTCTCTCGCTCAGTTTAGTTTCCAATCTCAATGTCAGTCCTAGACTGCGTGATTCTGTGAGTAGTAAAGGCAACAATTTAGTAGCAACTATATAACTTTCAATCCCCAACAAGGAAATAGTCCACCAGATTTAATGTATTTCTGTGACAACCGATACAGGACTATGTCATCTTTAGTACCTAGGTAAAATCTAATGGATTTTAAATATAAGGAAATATAGATCTTGGCACCTTTCCCTTGAGCTAGAGGCAAGGAAAGTGATCACTTTGAGTACAGGCTTTATAGGTGTCACAAGACACCGTTTACTTGCAGAATAAATGAAGAACTTTACCAAAAGTCATGCACATAACATCCAACAAATGAAATCAAGAACAAGGTTAGTACTTCAGCTTTTAGAGGAACTCTTCAAATCTGCTATACTTACACTCCAAAACCCCTCTCTCAAACTAGAGAAGTTAGCAGCACATCAGTGCATTTGGAGCACAGACCAAGACAAGGGAAGAGGTAAAGAGGTTTATTGTAACTGGCTTCCCCAGCCAGCTGCCGTCAGATTTTCCATCTCCTGCCCTAACTACAGAGTAAAATGAAGGGGCTCAGCATTTTTGAGGTGACCTCTCATCTCCTACCATCAGCCTCTGAATTAGGAGGAGGTGCACTGGTCCACAAACATCCCATTTTCAGGGAATTTATAACCTAAACATTACTTAGATCAAATAGTTAATACAAAGCATCTTCCTTCCTGAAAATGAGGGGAAGCTTTAGTCACTTGACACATTTCTTTTACACGCTTTAACACTTAAGTATTTTAGAACCTTTCTGTCATTAAAAATCAGGGGCAGGGAGCTACTAACACTGATATCACCCAGACTAAGTCACCATGACTATGCCCTGAAGATCAGACTGAAGGTTCCCAGTTCTCCTCCAAAGGCTCTTCCAAACTGCACTGATAACTTATAACTTACCCTTCCATTACGCTTCCATCCATGCAACAAGCTAGAGCTGAAAGCCAGCATACAGGAGTGTCCCCAGGGAAATGCACACAGGCTCAGCAGGCAGGGTACTGATACCAGAAATGTTCAGGTGCCCTTCTGGATCTGATCAGCACGAGTATTCAGGAGCCTGTGAAGACTTTGACTGATGAGGCATTTTCTAAGAGCAGTCAGTTCCTGGTTGTCTCTGTGCCAGTATCAGCTCATTGCTAGAGCTGATCCACTCACAATGGATTAGTACTAAAGGACAGGTCTGTGAGCCTCCCCACCTCATTAATATTCATTTTAGATTTTAAATTCCAGTTACACAAGGACTCATGCCCAAGGCTAGAAGCCTCATAAATTATATTCCATTTTTAAACCTGCAGCATTTGCTCTCATTGTTTCAGAAGGAAAAGAGTAGCAGAGACAGTTTTAGACAAGCTGCTTTTGTTTAAAAGAATAGTATCTAAAGCCCTGCTCTAACTTCATTAGCCCACAAAGATTTGCACTACAATGAGTCCTGCCTGCAAAGCACAAATACAACTGCCAGCAAATTTTAATTCTGTCATTATTCTGCTTTTGTTCCAGCTGCCAAAGCAAGTGCATATAATGTCTGCAGCTGAATAAACTCACAGAAGACAACTTATTGAGGGAAGACTTGAAAATAGCTACAACCACCATAAAGGAACTGAATTAAGAGACAAAGTGACTCAATATGTACTTTGCCTCCTGGCAAACATGGGTGAGTGATTTAGATGATTTTGCACTGAGAGCTACCACATTACACAGCAAACCTGGCTTTGATGGTCAGAAGAAAGGTCCAAAGGAGAAGAGATTGAAGCCTCCTCTGTTAGGATGGGGGCCAATTTTTGGGTAGCAGTCTCTTCCTTCTGTGAAACACCAAGCCTTGTTACACAGGCCAACCTGACAGCACCTGTATCCTTCTAGTCTCCACCACTGAAGGAATGAACAGCAAAAGGAAAAACAAACTTTTCTGATTTTACCTATACAAAAGGTGAAAGTTGCTGCAGCACAGATTTCATGTTCAACAGCCTGTTAGTTTAAAACACGGAGAGGTAACTGGAAACAAAAGTATTTGACATCATTCTTCTACTTGCCTTCTAAAAAGCCTTCAGCAAGGAGAGGAGCAGACCAGGCACGTTTCCCAGCACGGCATGAGTAGGCTGTCACTTGTATGGGATGAGAGATTTTTATTGAGCTCCTATTCTGCAGATGCACTATCCTGTCATTTTTATAAAGAATTAACTCACATCCTCTTGCCCACTCTGAGGCAGCCACAGAGGTAGTAATTACAGCCTCTCATTTAATGGTCCATTAGCTGGAGGAGACATCATTTAAGTGAGTAAGCCCCAGGAAGTACACATGAAGCACATGAATATACGTGTTGAAATCAGAATTACAAAATGGAATGAATCTGAAATTCAAAGGTAAATATTTTAGCTGTACTTTAACTTTGGCAGCCTGGATTGATGACTTTTTTCCCCCATCTTTAAATCACCATTCCCTAACTAGGTTGTTTTTAGCCCTCAAAAACTTCTTCACAAGATGTTTCCCCATTTTGACTCAGCTCTGAAAAACAAGGATTAACAATCTCAATCCCACTCCCAGTGGTGGTGGGATCTTGTTTACCTTCCATATCATGTCTGAATCCCACAGAAAAGCCCAGTAAACTCACAAGGGTACAGATGGGGAAGACCAAGCACAGGAACAAAAGAACACAGCCTCTGGAGAATTCCTTTTTCCAGTCACTTAATTTCTAGGTATAAAGGAACTGCTCAACTCCGAGAATAGCTGAAATAGCAGCATCCTTACTCCTCTGCAAATGCAGCACCTCTCCAGTCACTCTCCCTGTTCTCCAAACTGCCCTGCTGCTCCTCCCAGCTCCCAAAGGCTGAAACAATGCACTGCTTCCTTCAGTGATAGCCTGCAGCTTTCCACGGCACTCTCCCAAACAGCCTGAACACACTCCTGTTAATTCCCATCATCAGACCTTTCTCCATTCTCCAGCCAAGTCCAGCCTGTCTTTTTCCTACCCTCTCCATTCCTGGCTTGCTCTCTGGTCCCTGCCTCCCCTCCATGTCTGGAGCAGCCACAATTGCCTTCCTGCCTTTGCTATATAAGGAAACCCCACTGCAGCTCCAGGGCTGGCTAAGAAGGGAAACTGCATCCTTGAAACCCCAGAAACTGAGATTACTGTCATCATAATGCAATCCAATAACAGTCTGACAGTGGCCTTTTAAGTCACTGTGCTTTTGAGAATTACTGCAGTCACAGAGTGCAAGCTGTCAAAAATCCATTAAGATTTCACAGCTTGATCAGCAAAAAAAGCACTGGTAAACTGGCAAGCAATGATCGACAATCAGTAGTAATTAATCTAATATAATCTCAACCCATCTGTTACTCTCACAAAACAATTTTTAAGACTTTCTCAGATTCCCAATGTTCAAAAAATGAATCTTCTTGTTTCCAAGGAATGCATTTGTAACACAGGCATTTCAAAACAGAACATGTCCCCCTGCTCTTTACCATTTGCTGTATTTTGATTTTTGATCTTTCTGTAGTTGGTAGGAGTAGGGTTCTGTTCAATTTGATTTAAATTTTTTGCAATACATTAACAGTCTAATAAAGATTTTAAAAGACAAAATATTTTGAGACTAATTTTTTTTATGTACTATTACCATCAGTCTCAACCACTGAACAGTACAAATTGTTCAAGTATCTGTTTCCCCTTCCAAACTCTTTTAACCTTTTATTTTTTTCCAGAACTACATTTAGATGCACACGCAGGAGCTGTAAGCAAACGTGAGCTTCCCTGTTGCTAAGTAACTGTGAGCCAGAGCCAGCCCTGCCATTGTTGTAAGCAACAGCACCACAGCTGCCAAGTTTGGAATTCGGTCAGCGTCAAGAAATATAAGCTAAATATTTTGGATGAGACTCCCAATCTTCTTAAAATGGGTGTGAGCAACAATGAAAGAAAAATAGATCTCGAGATGACCAGACTCATGAGTAATCCTAATGCTGCGGGACACTTTCCCCTACCAGAACATTCAGGCTGTATTTCAGAATGCAGCTATTAGTATTTATCTAAATTAGGCTTCTTCCTCAATTTCCACTCAGCCCATTAGACACTGCTTTGAGGTACTATTTTCAAAACATTATTCTTTGTAAGTGTTAGAAATAATAATTGTGATCATTCAGCTAAATAAAAGGTTTGTTTTAAAGTGCCTTTCTGAAAACCTTTCACTGGATGTCAAGACCTGCCACTGTAAAAAAATCTTAAAAGTAAATTCTAATGCCCATCAGCTAATCTTAACGCAGATTTGTCCACACAGTTTAGTAGGGAACTTTAGTTGTGCAATTAGAAAACACATTTTTATAGTTTCTAACTTACTTTCTTGTTTGTCAATACAATCAGAGGTAAAACTACCTTAGCATCAGCCTGTGAACCAGTACTTGGCCAGACTCTCCATACTCTGTCTTAAGCATTTCCTAACTTACTGCACCACTTTTCCTTCTTTGGAATTGCTCTGTCCTGGAGAACAGAGATCTTTGTCAGCTTTCTAAGATGACAGGAAACAGGCTTTATCCTCCACTGTTTCAGAAAGCTACAACAAAAGGCACTTTTGCCTTAAAGCCTCAGTCCACAGTTCCTTGGTGAACTTAAACAAACTGAGCCTTATTTTAACTTCATTCACCTGAGTTACACACCGTTTCACTGTTTGAACAGTCCCCAAATGAGAGGCTCATGCAGAAATAAACAGCTGCTCTTTTCCAGTTTCTTACACTTGTGCCTTTCCTCTTACTCTGTACAACAAAACCTGGGCTCCCTCCAGGACACTGTGTGTGGTTTCACAGATAAATTTCATACCTACTGCACTCTTATGCAGGTTATGACAAGTCTAGATCTAAAGATCCCTGAACTCTGCTGTTAATAAACTGTATGCCATTCCTTTAAAATGTCCTTTAATACATCAGAATTTTTTATTTGATGAAGAAGTCAACTCCACCAATAAGCACTACTTTGAAATACACCACTGTATTGTACTGTGCCAGTAAAATAATTTATTCATTTTACTGAAAAACAGAACTCCTGGGTCACCTCTTGCTCCAGTGAGTTCACTGACCCTCAAACACTTCTTTGGTGCTGCTGAGAAGCAGGAGCTGGGGTGCAGAGCACCTTCACAGCAGAGACTCCAGCTCCACCACTCCAACCTCACTACACCTGCTCACATGGTCAGAGACAAAAACACACGTTTTGCTCCACAACTTCTCCAAATAAAGCAACTCTGACCTCAGTCTGAAGATTTCTCTTTATTAGCATGGTATTTTCCATTAAATATTCATAAGTTGTTTGTTCCAAGACAAAACAGACACCACAGAAACTTGGGAAACTGCCAGACTATTAATATTTGTACTCCTGGTATCTGGAACACTCACTGTTCTTAACAGCATTTTATGGTCCTCAATGCTGTGCAGGATTAAAAATAGTATTTAATTCTATTCTTAACTCTTATTAATAAAATTAGTAAGTTATAATTGAGAGAAGTAACACACAGTAGAATACCAAAGGCAGTAAACGAAGACAGAGCCCAGGTTTGACGTATGAAGTTAAGCACCACCAAAAAAAGCAGCTCATTGGGGGGAGTGAGGGGAAGATGAAGAAGGGGTACCTGACCTTTTCCTGGGGAAATGCTGCATGATGACACCAAATGATTCATGTGAACCGTGTTCTGGGCTTGGAACTTTAAACAAGTTTGGTGAAAGCAGGTTTTGGCTTTCTTCTGCAGAAAAAAATTAAATACATTTACATATTAAATAAATTTATCCACTCTCATTGCCTCCTGCCTAATCAATTCCTTGCCTCTTACCTGGATGGCACATCCCAACCAACAGCTGGCAGTGCCAGAAACCCTTTTAAAGTAAGTGCAGGGAAAAAAAAAAAAAACAAACAATTTAGTACATCGATTCACAGATATTTTCAGTTCATTATGAACTCACAACATCTGTGGAAATCACTCAGTGTCCGATGTGCCATAATGCAGAAAAAATGATCTTCATCTCAACCAAAAAACCTGCTAAATCATTTACAGCACTGGGAACCAGACTTAAAATTCTGTAACCTGTTTTGAAAGTAGTAACCCAAAAAAAGAAATAAAATTATTCTATTATTT